TCTTTTATGATCCATGGTCATTGCATATTCCTAAAATTAAAATAGTCTAACATTTGATATTTATTTGTATCACCATATTTTAAAAATGAAAACACAAGCATCTAAAATAGAAATATAAGCTTTCGGCGAGTTTCAAGGTTTTTGTTTTGGAAATGCCAGAAGTGAACTTCCAAAATACAATTTTTTTTTATTATTATTATTTTTTGAATACCAAGAGGTTTGAGGCCAAAATCCGTAATCCCCCGTACCCGAAACTACAGCATGTAATATTTAGTTTCGTTCCAAGCGACATTCGAACCAGCGACCTCTAAACTTCGCCTACGATCTTTACCAGTTGAGCTAACGATACTCGGTACCAAATTACATTTTTCAAAAGCATAAGCTGCACAACGAAGGCTAATTTTCAAAAATTTCTAAGAGTTCTTATTCTTGTTTTGAAGCGGAAAACAGACTTTTAACGAAACTTCTATGCAACTGAGATTCTATAGACCGCATAATTCATTGTACTATATAACGTTATTAGAATTACTTAGTAAGAAAACTATCATAAAATCAGAAAGTGAAATACGAAGTGAGATGAGAATAGGAGATATTTGCTTGCTACTACGGACGGTTTTATAAACCAAGATTTTAAGGCATAATTGCAGGAGACAGATGAGAATTAGTCGACGATAAAGAGACATTGAAACAATAAACAAATAAAATATTAAGTAATTTAAATACTTATAAATTTCAACTACCCATGTGGGTTTTTGGCTTCTCCATAATAGAATGTTTCTAACTTATTTTAATTAGATCTCTGATCGGGCCAATACAGAAGTAATAAATTTTTTTTTATTACTATCTTGATAAGGTGGTCTATAGTCTATAGTATATATACATGTAAGAATATCTGTATATTTAATTAGATATTTATTCTTCGTCAACCAATATGTATTTAAAAAATGTTTATAAGAAAACCCAATATGAATATCTCTATATATATTTTGTGTAAAGATAACAAACACTGGTGCTGTGAAAAAAAAAGGTCATATGCTCATAATTTTCCACGTATAGTTCACAATCAAATCCACATTTCTCTAAAAGTTCCTTTCTTTCGTTTTTGTCATGAAAATGGGGACATAAGCTCGTTGTAGTGTTTTCTTAGAAACTAAAGAATTAATATAAACAGAAGAAATTAATGTTGGGGACAATCTGTCCCTTGAAAATTATATAGAAAATAGACAATGCTGATAAGTATTCATAATATAAAATATATGCATGCCAACTCATTTACGTATGTTTCATTAAGAAAAAATTGGTCTTAATTAAGCCAAAAGTCTAGTGTGGGCGGTGATGTTAAAATGGGGTAAGAATCCCCGGGCCTAAACAGTTCCATATAGGAATTCAGACTTCTTGGTAAAATAAAACATACATATTTCGAGTGGTATTACTTAGCTTGTTCGTGCATAATTTGGGGTATTCGAATATCATTTTAGATTGACTTGAATAACTGCGAACCTTTCGTAGGAAAACTTAACATAAATTTTGATTACTTGATCTACGTTAACTTATTCTATGGGATAACTCTGCCAAGAACCCTCAATCACTAGTTTATGACCCGTGGAAGGGAACAAATATGTTGTTTCCTCCCAAACACTCAACTTTTGAAATATCAACACTCGAAAACATGAAATTTCAGAATCCATAAATCCATAAAGCTGATTGTTACATCCCACCATTTTGTCTCAACAGAATTACGATGAATACTAGCAAAATGTACTTAAATATCTTTATTTTAAATACATTTGTTTGTGTCTTTCTTAGTAATGCATTGTGTTTTAGGATATTCAAGTCCACATTTCGTGTTTTCATGGAGTCTATATATGTCTTATAGGCGTCATCCTCTTCTACGATTCCTAATCTCCAACAGAAAAATCTTATTTTTTGTTTTTTTTGGAAATTTATTGTTCCAAACTTTGTTTTTTCTGTTAGCAACAACTAAAATGATCAAAAGGGACTCGTTAAACTCAAAAACACCTGCAAAACACCTAGACTCGATAAAATTACTAAAAATACATGCAATAGATGGAGACTAGTTGTATCTCGCAACACCTCGATAGCCATGGTGATGGCACACTCTCTTTCACTCCTTGAACTATCTCATACTGCATAGAAGTAGAACGATTTAGTACCTCCCTAAATAAACTTCAAAATTTTTTTTTGCAGATGGGTTATAACGCCCCGACTGTCCCTATCAGTGGGCTGCCCCCACGTCCTCTCTCAGGCCCATGAGCCCACTCCTGTCCGACGGTCGGTCCGTTACGTCCGAGAGGCATTTAAAGACTTGTTTCCCGACCCTACAAATCACCACATGATCTTTCCCTGTGTTTTGTCCTCACTCACACAGTTCCGACAATCACTTCCCGGAAGGTCACCCATCCTGAAACTACTCCAGCCCAAGCACGCTTAACTGTGGAGTTCTCTCAGGATAGTTGACCGAAAAGATAAGTGCACTTTGGTGACATAGGTGGCCAAATCAATTCTTTTAAATTTCTCCGCATGCACCACCATATTCCTGAAACCGGGGTGTTACATGGGTCGTCTCTGTTGATGTGAAGTTGGCCAAGAAGGCCTTTGCATTCTTCTCTAGTCGTGATTAAACCTAGTGATAATGACTACATCCACTTGTGCGCCTTGTTACTCTGACGAATATATGAACAAAATGCACTTCAAAGTATCATCAAAAACTCTATCAATCCTCAATCTTTAATTTGAAAATGTATCTCCTTTTATCTTGCATAAAACAAATTCTCTACTTGCTTTATGTAATACCATCTCTATTTTATTTAACTTGAACAGGAACATAAATATATCATTTCATAAGTAGTTTTGAAACACATGCTCATGGATTTTAAAATAAAACATTTTCAGTTTTCTTTACATTATTTTACCTCTCTTTTACATACCTGAATAATAATTTATATATTTAAAATGGTTTTACATCCCTTTTTTTTTTTTAACTCGTTGTTTGATGAGTGAGATATTTTTGTGTACTTTCATAGACAAAATTTCTTGAAATTTGGAATAACATTTCCTCTTTTCCACTAGAATTCGCTTAAAGAACCGACTACTAGAATTTAGGATAATAAAATTAGTCATGTGTTTACAGTTTTATAATAGTGAGCTTGATCAAACTGGGGAAAAAGAAAATAGAATAATAAAAATAGTTACTGTATGAAAAAGGATCACAAGTGAATAAGGAAAATTAAAGCTTGTTTGTGTGTACTCATAATCTTGCCCTTCTCGCGAAAAAAGCTCGTTTTTATATTTGGTATGAAAAGGGATGGCTAAGAATTGGATTATGAGTAAATATCTTTTGATGAGTTTGGAGAATCTTGTTAGAATAGAATCTCATTTTGCATCTAAAAGTTTGATTGTTTTTTTTTTTTTTAATGAGTTCCAACCTTCTAACTTCTACTAGCCTTGGCCTAACCTTTGATTGTTTTTGCTTGATGACATGCTAAGGGTTAACTTCGGAGGAGTTAATGTTTATACTTTCTAGACCATTTCATAGTCATTTTTCTGTTGTTTTCATGCCTTAGAGTGTTAGATCATATTTTGGTCGGGACTCGGGACAAACAGTTTTGCAGTAGAAAGCAGATTATGATCACATGACTGCGCGCATTAGTAAACACACACGTTCGAGAACTCTAGAATTAATCCCTTCTAGGCAAGGCCGGCCCAATCATATTTGCTGCCCAAAGCAGAAAAAGAAAAACAATGTGAGGAATCGAGCCCAGAATACTTGTGCAAGGGAAAAAGGTCCTTACGACTAGACCATGAAACAACTATTGAACTTCAATGTTTCCCCTAATATATATAGGATATTTTTGGCGCCTAAAGCCCTTGCTTCACGTATGATCACCTCCCTTGTTTACCAGGTGCCTTTAGTAGTGAAATTAGGTATGTTATGTTGAGGACCATTGCCGATCAGAGCCAGAGTTTGAGACAGTGAAAATTTCTGTGTCTTACAAAGGAAGAATACTACTCTGGAAGATCCAAGCTATTTTAATTTCTTCAACGCATAATCCTTGGTGCTAGGAATCATCTATAAATCCCCCAATTCATCACGTATAATTTTGTTATCCTTATATGGTACAGAAAATTTCATATATATATATATATATATATATATATATTGTGATATGTTCCATTACCTTCTCAAAACCGGAGACTTAAAATGTTGGAATATGCATATATTTTTCCTCATATATACACTATATTTAGACTCTTTGTCATGAAAGTTTCATTTTCATTATAATTTAACTTGTGTTAACAAACTGAACGGCAGATTAAATTCGACATTATAGCTTTGATCTACATTTCTTACAACTGATGAACCGTGGATTTCATCTTCATTTTTTATCTTTGGATAAGAAAAAAGTCATTTAAAAATATTGTTTTTGTAGAAAACCCGTTTACTTAATATTACGAGGGATGAGAGTGCGGGTACGTTTGCTACTTTGTATTGTTCTAATTTTATTTTTTGGTAAATTTTGAATTACTACAAGAAAACATGGTCTTTCCTACTGCAAGATGAGTCACGAAGTAGTCGTTAAATCATTAGTTATGACTAATTAATATAGTCGTAAATCGATAGTTGTTATACTTAATAGTCGTAAAATTAGTCGCTAAATAACGACTACCCTACGACTAATAACAGAAGTCGAAAAAGTAGTCGTAACTCAATCGTTAAAAGTTACGACTAAATTACGACTAGTTTACGATTAAACCACATGAACAGAAGTTATTGTGGTGAAGTTGTAGCGTAGTTGTAACTTTTAACGACTACTTTGTGATCATTTGCCAACTACTATGTGACTATTTAACCGCCATTTAACGACTACACTTGTTGACAAAATAAAATTTTGGTTTTTTCTAATTTAAATTGGTTTTGTATCCAAATTTGTCTAAACCAATATACAAATGCAAACCAAAACTCATAATTCAGACAATGTAACCAAAGACAATTTTTATAACATCAAAACAAGATTCAAAATGCAAATTCTCACAAGTTCATAACACAAACCAAGATTCTGAAAATGAAAGGAACAAATACAAGTGACAAGTTCTTGAGAGTTATGAAATAGGGAGAAGTAACTTAAGAATGAACTAAAGTTGAGAGACGATTTGTGGTTGATTCAGGTGAATGAGTCGCCATAAAGTCGAGAAAGGCCGGATCAGTTTGGCACATATACTTTTCCGCCAAGGACAAGTGCTCGAGCTTGTCCTTTTGGTCAGCCACAGCTCGGGAATGCTCTGCTTCATGGACAGCATCACGGGCAGCAACCTCGGCATCACGATGTGCATTATAAGCAGCCTGCTCTTCGATTTTCTGTTGAGCTTCCTTGAGTTGCTCTTGCAATGACACAAAGGAGGAAGAGTCTCCTGAATGCTTGTGCTTGCCAGTGACAAGATTCTGAAGATTATCCTTGAGGCTTAATTCCCACTCGGTTCTAGGTATGTGCTTTCATCTGCTGGATGCACGCTAATGTAATAAACCGCAATAAGAACCCCATATCTCCATCGGCAACGTTCCACAACATGTCAACCTCATATGAGAGAACTTAACCACAAGCTTTTCCACGGTCAAGCCAGCACCACATTGCGGTCTAGCCGAACCAACAACCTATAACATACAAGTCCGAGTGTATTTATCCATATAAACGGGATTTGACCAGGTTTTTCCTAGGTTTGCCTGGATATATAGGTTTTAAAACAATATATAGACCAAGTCTTCTATAAGCTTTTCGTTTCTAGCAGCACCCGAGTGGGTTAAGGCGAATTGTACGAACCTCTGGAACTTGATACTAAGACCATCTTTATAGGGAGGTGCTTAACTTGGTTCTTAGCTCAAAAGATCTTAAAATTAAAGGTGTAATTGATGATTTTGCTAAGGAATGACTCTTAGCTAAGAGTCAAAAATTGGGCTAAGAACCAAAAAATTTACTAAGAACCAAAACTAAGCACCTCCCAATAATGTTGCTCTAATACTTTATATTCATTTACTTGTCAAATGGGAGGTTTAAATGTTTTATGTTTAGCAAAGTCGATTAACACTAGCAGTAGGTTAATACTACTTAAGTGTTTCGTGTTCTATGATGGTTCTTAAGCATTGTACTTACATAAATGTTTGATCATTTTTTTCTTCATCGCCTTAGTTTTCATATGATATATCCAATGCTTTATCCCTCATGTTTATCCATTACTTCTTTTCCTTTGTCTTACTTATTTATTTTATCATTAGCTCCCACGTTTCATATCTAGAATAAGAACCCATCCAAAACAAGTCCCTTTCTACAACAGACTAATTAACGCAACCCTGATACATCTAGTGTGTGAAGTAGTTTTTTTTTTCCGTGTATTTCAACCAATATACTATATTGAAATTTACATGTACTTGTAGAGTATTTAGGGTTTAAACAAACAAGTACATTATAATCAAACTAAACACTATCCGACAAGTTAGATCATAGTGGATGATGTGGTCCGAGAACAAACATTGAAAACTAAAAGGAAAGCAAAAAGAAAAGAAAAAAGAAAAGTAAATTAGTTATTGCACAATCAGACAAATAGAGAGGCCGAGACGTTGCGTCAATGTTTTTGGTTTTTATATTCTCCCAATAGATTGGATTTGGGGTAGAGAGAGAGAGAGAGACAGAAGTGAGTTGGGACAGTGAACTTTAAATAAGAAGCACATGGGAACAAAAGATGTCTGGATTTAGGGATTGAAGATGAATTTTGGTAGGGACTCTGCTCATTTTCACCCTTACATGTTGATCTCGTCTTTCCTTAATCTTGTCCTAATGCTCCAACGACATGCCGGGCCATGTGCCTCCCTCCGTTTCCCAACTCCCTTCACGTTATTTACTCAAACCAATCTATTTCCAACTTCTTATTTCAATGTCTCGTACATCTTCATTTTGCAATTCCAAGGAAAAATATATTTATATATGTAAGTACGTAAAATAAGTGTATTAGACCATCTCCAACAGTAGTATCTCAATAAATATCTAAAGATTAAAAAAATGAAAAGTAATGAAAAAAGTGGAGAGAAAACAAGATACGTTTATCATATGAGAAATTCGGAGAAACCCACTTTAATACTTGGATTTTTATGATTGGTCTGATTTTTTTTCTATAATTTAAAATTTAAATAAATAATTTATTTATTACTAAATGTCTATGATATGTCCTGATTAAAATAAAATTGTATAAAACAAAAATTATTCAGTGGTATATCCTTACTTAATAATAATTATAAATTATCAAAAATAAATTTCTTATAAAATGTTACAATTTGCAAACTTTTATATATAATATATAACCATTAAATTTTTAAAATTACTAATTTTTTTTAAAAATCATTCCGCGGTATACCGCAGTTTAAAAAGTTTACAGTATGGATATATAAATTAACGTAAAATAAAATAAGTCTACCAAAAATAAACAAGTCGACGGAAATTTTTTTTATAAAATCAACATTAAAAAATCAACTGTTTAAAAAGTCATCTATGTTCAAAATTAATCAACCAAAATATAAGTCGATTATTTTAAATAAGTCTTTAGAAAATAAATTTAGTCAGTGAAAATGAAATATAAGTCATCAGTTCAAAATGACCTTTTTAATAAGTGAACGTAAAATGAAATAAATCTATCATGAATAATTAAATCGAAAGAAAAAATTATAAATGGATGAACAAAAAAAAAGTCAACTGTTCAAAAAACCGATTGTGTCTTTCTTTGCTATGACAATACAATTAACTTTGTCATTCTGGTAATTACTGTCAATCAAAAGATGTTTAAAGGTTAGTACATGATGGATTTACTAGCACTAATAATCTCAAATCGTAAGAAAAATACTAAAACATGATCATTCATTATGTTAAAGGTAACCTTTATCTCAACTCCACATCCACATCAAGGTTCTTTTTTGACACCTGCATAAAGCCAATCCATGAGTTTACGAAAAGGTTAGGTTTCTATCAATGCGTCTCTACTAACTCTTTCATATAGTTACAGAATCTAAAACCCCTTCTAAAATGCTTAATGGATGCAGGATGGGAATAAAAGTCGGAGAAGCTTTTGCACTTGCAGATACAACAACTAGAATACTAAAAAAAGAATTAGTGACCACTCATCAGCTTCCCAACCTGATGAACATGTACTACAAATATTCTACAAAGTTTGCGACCAAATTTAACTCCACTAAAAACAAGTCTGATGTTCGTCTTCTAGTTTTCAAAAGACACATGCCACTGATTTCCTCTGCAATGCTAAGGTGTTAGGCATACTTCAAAATCGATTTGTGGTTCCTCACAATCTAGAAATTTTTACGAAGTACAAAGTTCATATCAACTTAGAATGGTGTAATAAATAGAGCGCAATCTTCAAATACTTTTGTTATTACAAAAGAAGTAGATAGAATAACATTTCTAATGAGAAAAGGAAGTGATGTCAATGGTCAAATCTGGAAATGGTTTTGATGGTAAACCAAGAAATGAGATAAATTAGTACCTCGTTTGTTGCTATCTATCAACATGCAATGGAACTGGGAGAATACTAAAGTTCAATATTCACCGCCACATTGGTTTAGGACTACAAATTTCTAATAAACCTAAATAATAATATTGAGAAACAAATGCTTTAACTTTATTTATTAATTGGTAACAATTTCGTTATATTTAAAACACTGCGATTTAAACAAAAATAAAGCATAAATTGATAGTTTCATAATAAAACAAGAAGTTTTGACTGGACTACATTGTGACATATAAATATAGTTTTACCAATACCAAACACAATTACATAGAATACACCTTCGAAAGCTCGCATTAGATGACTATATTGTCATTTTTCTTGAGGTAAAGTTTAAAATTTTCACATTTATAGAGTCTGTATTTTGTCATGCTCTTTATTTATTGTTTGTCTCTTTCTTTTCATAGTACACAAAGAAAGATTCACGAGAAAATCTTTATGGAGTGGGAATTAAGCCTCAAGGATAATCTTCAGAATCTTGTCACTAGCAAGCGCAAGCATTCAGGAGACTCTTCCTCCTTTGTGTCATTGCAAGAGCAACTCAAGGAAGCTCAATAGAAAATCGAAGAGCAGGCTGCTTTTGTGATGCCGAGGTTGCTGCCTGTGATGCTGCCCGTGAAGCAGAGCATTCCCGAGCTGTGGCTGAGCAAAAGGACAAGCTCGAGCACTTTTCCTTGGTGGAAAAGTATATGTGCCAAACTGATCCGGCCTTTCTCGACTTTATGGCGACTCATTCACCTGAATCAACCACAAATCCTCTCTCAACTTTAGCTCATTCTTAAGTTACTTCTCCCTATTTCATAACTCTCAAGAACTTGTCACTTGTATTTGTTTCTTTCATTTTCAGAATCTTGGTTTGTGTTATGAACTTGTGAGAATTTGCATTTTGAATCTTGTTATGATGTTATCAAAATTGTCTTTGGTTACATTGTCTGAATTCTGAGTTTTATTGGTTTGCATTTGTATATTGGTTTAGTCAAATTTGGATACAAAACCAATTTAAATCAGAAAAAAACCAAAATTTTATTTTGTCAACAAGTGTAGTCGTTAAATGGTCGTTAAATAGTCACATAGTAGTTGGCAAATGGTCACAAAGTAGTCGTTAAAAGTTACAACTACGCTACAACTTCACCACAATAACTTCTGTTCATGTGGTTTAATCGTAAAGTAGTCGTAATGTAGTCGTAACTTTCAACGATTAAGTTACGACTACTTTTACGACTTCTGTTATTAGTCGTAGGGTAGTCGTTATTTAGCGACTAATTCTACGACTTTTAAGTATAATGACTAATGATTTAACGACTACTTCGTAACTCATCTTGCAGTAGAAAAGATCATGTTTTCTTGTAATTCAAAATTCACCAAAAAATAAAAGAACAATACAAAGTAGCAAACGTACCCGCGCTCTCATCCCCTAGTAAAATTAACTAAATGGGTTTTCTACAAAAAACAATATTTTTAAATGACTTTTTTTCTTATCCAAGGATAAAAAAATGAAGATAAAATCCGCGGTTCAGTTGTAAGAAATGTGGATCAAAGTTATAATGTCGAATTTAATCAGCCGTTCAGTTTATTTCCAAAACACACAACTATTAAGGTTTATAACTTAAAATGATTGGGGAATGTTCGATTAGAGTTGTGGGATTAATTGGTAAAGGTGCTCGATGTTGGGCCAAGGGACACGGGTTCGAATCCCCGATTTTGCAAAAAATTTAAACTTTTGAGAACAATTATCAAAACGACGTCGTATGGGATACACGTCAGCGTACACGTGTATGATGACTCAGCATCGTAACGGAGTTGACTAACACCCGTTAGATTGACTCTGTTTTTTGCACGATTTATCAAATACAGGTATGAAATTCAAATTTTATTTCAGTTTGGGTTGGAAAATACACTACAAAAATGTCGAGGTATAAAAATCCACGGTCCCGATAGTACGGGTATGAAAATCCCCTTTTCCCAAAATCATCTCATATGTTAGACTTTCTTTAAGGTTTATATAACAACTAATATTTGATCAGCAAGTCTAATTCAGATTTTTTCCTGATTTCGACTTTTACTTGGTGTTAATTTCACTTACTGTAATTTTTTTCAGATTCTATCTTTCAGGTCAATAGATTTTCAAATTATCAAAAATAAACAAAAATCTCAATTAACGATTACTGTTGTTTATTTTATTTTTGTTGATAATATTTGATGATTTAGTAGAATATCCTTTTAGAAAAAACCTTTAACAAAAAATTAAAAAAAAATTTGATCATAAGTGTAGTTACCTAGAAAAAAAAGTAAAAACCACAACGGTACTTTTACAATTTCCTTTTTCCGCTACTCAACTTTTCCATTCTGAGAAAAGGAAATTTGGAATGAAGTCGGTTAGTTCTCGCTTTAATATATCTCTGTTTGAGACTTTATTCCCAAGCTATTACAAATTCTCAGATTTCACTTTCACTTAATTGAGGTTTTGCTTAAAGCTTGTTGCCAAAGCTATCAGAAGAATCAATCGTTGTATTTGCAATGGTGGCGTTGGATTTGGAGTTCGAAAGGTATCTAGGAAAAGGTTCGTTTGGTTCGGTGAGTCTCTTCAAGTACAAAAGACGACACGACGGCCAGACTCTCTACGCCGCCGTAAAAACCTCTGGCTACAAACACGCTAAGTCTCTCTACAAAGAGTTTCAGATCCTGTCTGAATTCAAGGGCTGTTCGAGAATCGTCCAATGCTACGGTAACGGAGTAAAACAGAGATTTAACGACAAGGGTTACGTAGAGTACAAGATTGCTATGGAGTACGCAGCTGGAGGAAGCTTGAGCAATTTCATGGACCGATTCAAAGACAGGAAATTGCCTGATTCGATGATCAGAGAATTTACTCGTATGCTTCTTGAGGGTTTAGCCACGATTCACGAACACGGCTATGTTCACTGCGATCTCAAACCCGAAAACATCCTTGTTTTCCCTAGTTCTGTCTACAAGAACGGCGCGTGGAGATCATCTTACCAATTGAAGATTTCAGATTTTGGGTTGTCGAAAAGAGCTGGAGATACTAAGTGGTGGCATCCTCGTCAACCGTTTGCGGGAACACCAATCTATATGTCGCCGGAGTCGATATCTCATGGTGAGATAGGGAAAGGGCTTGATTTCTGGTCGTTGGGATGTGTCGTATTGGAGATGTACACTGGAAAGAGACCATGGTGGCATACTAACTATGAATTAGATGAGCTCATGAAGTGTTACGAGCCATTGTTTCCGCGTAATCTTCCTTGCGATGCAAAACTCTTTCTCATGACATGCTTTGCGTGTGAGCCAGATGAGAGAAAAGACGCGTTGACATTGTTGAGGCAAAGCTTCTTGCGTGGAGATGTCAATAAGTCCACAAAGCTTCAGATGAATGCGCCGATTGACAATCCGGATGATTTCACCCTGCAACTGGAGAAACTTAGCCAGATGCTTTCAGAAATTAGGACTATGTGTTAATTTGAAGTTGATGAGCTCTGCAAAAGAGCCCTGGTCAACACTGATATTGATTAATTCACATTTTTATTAATTAGCAGAATTATGTAATAGTTTTTGGTATATCACTGTCTCTAATAATAGTTAGTTTGAATGTATATGACCAAGTTTATTTGTGTACCTTTTATAACTTCAAGATTTTCTTTATCAGTCTTCAGTTCCAGGTACCAGATTCATGTCTTCTTTTTAATATTCTCTGCTTTTCTTTGCTCTCAATTTAATTGTTTAGAGTCCAAATTTCTCCCTTATGCGGCTTCCTCTGTTTCTTACATTCCTCCATAGCTTATGTAGCGTGAAAAACTATGTCAGAGTTCTTTAGCTTAGTCCTAATTTTTCTGTTCTGTTTTTAAGCAGCTATTAAGCTATTTAGACCATCTACATTAGTCATCCCATGGAGGGTGTCTTAACTATAAATTAAAATCAATTTAACACTAATATAATATGAAATTCCCACTAATTTTTTTATTAACTTTTGTCCTTCCATTGGTGATATTTAAATGGGTGTCTTAAGTGCACAAAAACTTCTCCCCAAGAGAGACCATCTTCTAGACAAGCTTGTGATAGTCTTCTCCATGTCTACAACAATAGAACTGTGGGTTATAAGAAGCTGTAAAAACTGATACCTGCAAATGTTTTAGGAGACATGAAAACTGCAAACTTTATTTTTTTTTCTGAAATTCTGTTTCTCCTTTGTATAGATTCATGGTTTCAGTACAAAGGACTGCAAGGTATAACCAGATACAAACAGATTCAGATTGTGAAAACACAGTGAATGAAAAGAAATCCAGAGCTGAAGCCAAAGAGAACTAGCTCTAAAGAAAAGGAGAAGAAAAGCTTTTGTAGGGAAGGGAAGATCAAACAAAACAAGCACTTGAGATTGACTTCAGGGGAAGATATTTCCTTTCTCAAGACTTCAAAGATCACACAAATGACAAAACTAATCCCAATCTTCATCTGCGTTACAAAAAGAGAAAGAAAAGTTTGAATATGACAAGTTATATAAGTAAAAGCCTAAAAGGTCATTACTCATTATCTAGAATGCAAACTGATTCAATCCAACAAAACAAGAAATGTAATACGCCAAATTCTGCTAGACCCTCGCAAATGGGCCTTTGCCAATGGTGATCAACAAACAGAGTTTGTGAAAGCTTAGCAACTTCAACTGATCACTAACTAAAACGAGAACGTCTACATCTGTGATCACATCTAGTTTCTATTTACTGGCACCTTGCAGCCTATCTCACTCTAGAACCAAAGAACTAGTCGAAAGATTGTGTTAATCAACCTATCTATCTTTCCACATTCATTGAGATCATGTTCATAAAAAAACATTGTGTTGCTCAATCTGTCTAACTTTCATAACAGTGCCTGACTAAACACAAAGCAAAATTTGAGAATCTGATAAACCAAAAACGAGCGCTCATTAGCAGCTCTAGCCTTAGCAAGCATCACATCGTACCTAAAGGACTCAATCCCATGACGCAAAGGTTCAATCTTTTCAACAACATAACCAAGAAACTCTCCTCTCAAATCCACCGCCTCTCTCCATTCACCACATCTCTCCTCACCAGTGACAAAGTTTATGAATCCAAAAACTGATCAATTCAAAAATTCCAAAAAGAATGGCAAGTCTCGTCACAATATGAAGAATGCCTCTTGGGATTTAGATCAACCCCCCACGAACGAAAAATAAGAACACAAAACCAAATATATATCAAATTCTTAGCTCGTGTTAATTTCTCGATTCAGAACAAACCTGATTTAAGACCCAGAGAAGGAACAAACACACAAATTTGAAGAAAAATCAAAGAGAGCGAGAGGGAGAAATCTACCCGGGAAGAAATTCGCAGGCGTGGTGATTGGAAACAATGCCTGGAAAGCCACTTATTGCCACCCAAGTTTTTTTTTTTAATTTGTTGAATTAAATTTAAAGGTATTTAATCCATTAAATATGAAATGACGAAAAACCCAAACCGCAAGATTCAAGATCTCATGCGTTTGACCCGTTTCCGTTTATCCGACCCAAGCCCATTAATTTTCGTCCAAGTCCATCCGAGAATTGAGCCCAACAAGAGAGAAATGAGTTGAAAACAAAAGAAAAACTTAAGCGTTTCATTTTTCTCCGATGTCCCCCCTTTTCGAAACCCTAGAGACAACTTCTCCGATTTCTTCTCCGATTTCTCTCCGATTTCTTCTTTTATTTCTTCTATTTCTTCTCCCTTCTCTCCGTCGCAGTCGAATTTTGCACCGCCGTTGAAAATCTGGAGAATTTTGGTATGGCTCGTGTTAGAAACGCTTTAGGTGAATATGAATCTACGGCAACGCATCCGAGAGAATCAGCGGATACAAGTACCGTGGTCGACCCTACAGAAGAAACCGGAGAATCGAGAGAACCAGAGGATGCTGAACCTGGAAGTGAAACCGTCAGGATGCAAACTGATCCGACAGAAGAAGCAGCAGTTGATGCTTCCGAGAGTCAACCTGCAAACGAAACCGTCAAGTTGGAAAGGGATGATGCTGAAGGACAAGCAACAGTTGATGATTCCAATATTCAACTTGGAAATGAGAGTCCGATAGAACCGAGTACTGAAGCACTAGAGACTGCAGAGGAGGAACTCGTGGATGCATCAGAGGAAGAGGAAGAGAACGTTAATGCTCAGGTATACATTAGTTTGAGAATGGATTAGGAAAGTCATAATACAACTAGTTCAACTACTGAAGTAGGTTGTCTTTGAATATGAGTATATATAGTTTTGAATTTATTTCTTGGTATAATTGAATCGGAGTATATATAGGTTTGAATTTAGGGTAATATTAGGGAATAGCCAAATAAAACACATAAATTAGGAAACTAGCAGAGAGAAAGGTTTTTGTCGGAAAACAGCGATGGACCCACGTTGTCAGAGGTTGTGAAATAACAAAACCATCATCCGTTTGTTTTGAGATCAACAGTAGGCAAGATTGTTTCGTGAGATTTTTCAAAATAGCACGTAAGATATAAATTTCACATGTTATATTTCACTAAAAGACATGCTATTTCAGAAAACGTAGTGAATTTTTAAGAAAAAACATTGTTACGTAGTGTTTTTTTTAAAAAAAACATTGTTATGGAAAAATTAAACTTGAATATAATCTTTTTTTAAAGAAACCCTGTTCGAAAACGCGGACTAGGCGTCCGTGTAATCGCCGATTCAGCGGTGGGCGGAGGACAGCCGCCGGGATTTCACCAAATCGGCAAGAAAATCGGGGTTGCAAAAAAAAATTTTGTTTTTTGGTTAGTTTTTACTTAGAAAACTTGTTTTCTCCTAGATCTATTGTAATATAGTAAAACTTACATGAAATAGCTAGTAAAAAACGCGAAAATAACGAAAAAAATGATATGGCAGCCGAATTAGGGTTACAGAGATTGCCAGCGTCCAAAGATTGAGAGGTTGAAGACGAGGGTAGAAACGTCATTTTACATTTCATTAAAGAAAAATAAAAGAAAACAACACGCTTAGGCATTTGGGGCGTTGAACCCAGGTTGTGAGCCTTGCCAGCGTCCATCATGACCACTAGACTAACATGAATTATACATTCTGTCCAAGATATATAATATATATATATTATTAGCCGTAAAACTAATCCCGATTAATCCCCGCTTAATCTCCGATTTTCTTGCTAGGCGCTAGGCCCACCTCGAGCGCCCGACTAGCGCCTAGCGATTTTTTGAACAATAACATGTGATCTTAATAAAAACCGTGAATTACTAGAAAATAAGAATCTTTTTTTAAAGAAATCACATGTGATCATAATAAAAACGTGTATTACTACAAAATAACATGATAGAGAGAGATATTAAATTGAATAGAGTGTTTTTTTCAAGAAATACCATGTGCTCTTTATAAATAACGTGTAATACGAGAAAATAATATGATAAAAGAGATATATTATTCTATCACATGTAATTCGAGAAAAAAGCATGTTATAAAGGGCATATACGTAATTACATATGCTTTCCGATATGATACAGACACGTTACTGTAGCATATGACTATTTTCTTAATTATCCTAAAAAATTTGGCTATTTTGTGTATATTCCCTTGAATTTATGTGTTTTGATACAACTAGTTCAACTTCTCCCGATTATATATATGTTGGAATTGTGTGTTTTGATATAACTAGTTCAACTACTTAAACTCAGCGATTGTGTTTTGAATATGCATGATACATTTGAGGCCGAGGATGATGCTGGTATAAAGATTGCTGATAAAGACGATGAAGCTGGTGAGGCTGCAGATGATGATGCTGGTAGAAAGGATGATGAGGCTGCTGATGCTCTTAAGGGCGATGATGATGTTGAGAATAAAGGTAATGATTCTGAAGATAGAACTCATGATTTTGGTGATGATGGTGATGATGTTTTAGAGGCTGAAGAGGATGTTGGTAAGGAGGATGAGGCTGCTAGTAAGGAGGTTGATGGTATAACAGCTGATGATGATTCTGATGATGGTGAAGATCAGCCACTGCCGCCAGAGAAGATGTTTTTAGATAGTTCAGAATACACCAAAGGGTGGAAAATAGGAACTAGGTGTAAGGTCACTAAGACAGTTCAGTGGATAGAGAAAGACATTAAAGAAGAAGCTCCTTGGTTCAGAGGTCACCCGCAGTTTAGGCATGTATTCCACATGCCTAAGGAGCCTAACCACCAGACTCAAGGCATGTGGATGCTTATGCTTCGCACAGTTGACTCAGAGATGGAGAGAGAGTGCTTGTTTGTGGTTAATGGAGTACCTCAAAGAGCATGCATTGCTAACTGGGTTTAATTGCAAGGAATACCCGGAGAACCATGAGAAATTAGGGGATGAGAAGTTTGTGAAGAGAATCTTCAAAAGGACTGAGAAGATAAAGATGTCTGATGTATTAGCTAAGTTAAAGCAAAAGAAGAGTTGGAAAGGACCCGATAAGAAGAAGTTACTAGTCTTATATTTCCTATGCAAAGTAATAAAAGCAAGCTCAAAAAATGATGGAAACATATATAGAATCCTTTCTTTTAAGGATTGTTGATGATTTGGATGCATGTTAGACATTTCCATGGGGGCGGTATTCATTCTTAGAATGTGTGAAAGGGATCCGAAATATGATGAAGAACTTGAATGGGTCTGTCAAACCTAAAGCTCAACCTAGCTTTAGTGGATTCATTGTACCTCTGGAGGTAAGCCTTTAATATTGATGTATGAGTATAAGAAGTTGTATATATGGTTTTATGATATTAACCGTGTCTGTTTTTTTGTAGATTCTGGCTTATGAGTCTATTCCACATCTTGGGCCGAAATATAGAGTACATGTACGTGCAGCAAATGACTATCCAAGGATGTGCAAGCACAAGTTTAAAGAATCTGGCATGAAAGGTATCCCTTTGGAAGAAATATATCAAGAGCTTGGGACTAGCACGGTTTGTCATTCTGTCTTCATTTGATTATTTGGTTTGTGTCATGTATTTGTATTTGATATTGATAGCATGTTGGCATGGATCCTAGAACATAATGTTGATGATGGCCTAGGGTATATTGATATCATTGTTGACAGTTGGAGAGAGCGTCTAGTTGTAGATAAGAAGAATATATGGTGGAAAGGAATGTACCAGTTGGACTTGGGGTCCCGACAGATTGGAAATGAAGACCATGAGGAAGAAGACCCTGAGCAAAACATCCCGGAGCAAGAAGTCCCTCATTGTGACTTCCCTAAGAAAGGAGGTCATGATATTGAACAAGTTGTAGCATCTATTACCTCACTAATAGAAAACATAACAAAGTATACATTGCATCTTCTTAGGTACCTTTGGCAAAATTTTGGATAACCGAAACAACCGAACCAGTTAAACTGAGTAAACCGAATACTCAAAGCTACTGCAAGAAAATCTAAAATGTGCGAATTCTCATAAGTCCAATGGTGATTTACTTGAATGCCTACATTTATCGCGCCAAAATATTTTTACAAGTTCAACAAAAAAAATGTTAATTCATAAATATCTATTTTTCTGCTTACTGGCAACAAAAATCAATAATAGAGATCAAGGTATATCCTCTAACAGTCACCTGACGAACTTCTATTCTTTAGCTTCATTTGGATTACACTGATAAACTATTCGGTTTAAGTAATTCATTTTTTTTGTCTATTACTACTCAAAGGATAAGAAGATGAACAAAATTAAGTAATTAACCATAAAAATAGAAAATTCTTGAAGCCATTACTTTATTATGGCTTCACTCATACGTCTTTATCTTTTCGTGCTTTTATTAATGATATGGCGATTGAAAGAGTTTTCCAAACATATGGACTGATTAAGTCATTGATTAAAGACATTAGTTCTCCCTTCATCTTACATATTCTAAAAACATTTTTCATCAGTCTCTCCAAAATTTTTTTTTTTTTGAATAAATGTAAAATTTATATGTAAAAAAACCGTTTTTACATCGAGTGTAACATTTTCAGGATTCGAAATGGTTTTGACCTTACATTTTAGTTTCAAGTGGAAAACTAATATGTGAGAAGATCCGATCCACATACCTTTTGTTTCCTGATGAGTTTCGAAGCAAGCAAATACGGTTGCGATGTTTTTGTTTTTTCAAATTCACCTCCTAATGGCCTCCCAACTTTATCTAAATATTGCGAAAATTTGTGTTGCACAGGTATTTTCATAGAGTTTATATCTTACATGAAAGACACTGGACATGGTTATAGATTAAAAGGACACTATCACTTGCATTAACGTAATACTGTAGCCACAAATAACGAATAAAATTTGTTTGTCTTTAAAAAAGAATTCAAATCAGTTTATCAAAATCTTCTAGTTCAATTTTCTTTTCAACAGTTGTTGAATTATTTTCTTGTGTTTACCTTATAACAGCATGCAATCGAAATTCGTAACCATTCCATATTGCAAACATTGATTTTCAAAACAATCTTGGTTTAGTATAATATTGACTATAAAAAAAAAAAAGCATATTGACTATAACTCTATAAGAGAGCGTATAATATGTGATAAAGTAATTGAATTGATAGCGGTGAAAGTTTAGTCAGCTACGCATGCATGTATAGAAGAACAACTTTTTTTTTTTTACTCTCACAATTAAAGTAGAAAGAATCCAATATATGTGTCTTTGAAAAAAAAAAAATTCTCCTTTTTTTTCGGGCCGTAGGAAAATTGATTAAAGTCATCGAATTCAAATGAATCATTACAAGGCTTTCTTTTTGGCTAAATACTTTAGCTTTTTCTTCCCCGAAAAGGAGTGGGAAATATATAATTTAATAAGGTTCCCATCATTAGTATTCAGGAAGAATCATAATTGTCTCCACATACAAAATCTTCGGTCGTGATTCTAGTAAGTGAAATCATTATTGTACACGTAATTACATTATACTTGCACATGATTAATATTGAAATGTGCATAATAATATATGTCAAATGCATATATTTAACTTTCGCCAGCATAATATAAAATTAGTAAGTATTTTAAAACAAAAATTTCTTATAACGTAGATACGGTGTATATATTTTGGCCGCTTTCACTATTAAGCATTTTTTTTTGTGGGATTGAAAAGAATCACGTCGCTGGTTATAGTATTTTACAAAATATACGATTGATTATTAAGTAAATTGATAAAACTTGTTACTGATTATTTCGAATAAATATAGATGCAATATATATATATATATATATATATATAAGTGCTGAACACATTGTAATAACTTAAAACAATTACATATTTTTTTATAAGTATTTGATCATATTTTGAATACAATATTTTGATGGTTGCTAGTAATACGTTTATGGTAAAATAATTTGTTTTTAATCAACCACAAATGAGATTTAATAATAAAGGGCTAATTAATGGTCAGTACAATAGGACATGCATTTGTATTATCAACTTAAAAGTTTGATTTTTATTTTGACTTGTTAATTGATATATATAGACGTAATGATTTTGCAACATAATTCTATTATAGTATCAGAGTATATATTGGCACAAACGAGTTTCTATTTTTCTGTATGGACTATCTAAATGTTTTGAAAAGCCAAAAAGAAGAAATAATTGATAATCACATGATAGTGATATAGCACAAATGATATATTTTTCACCTAATCATTTACATTTTTAAGTCCATAATAATCGCAAGGACCTCAAAATCATATGAAACTACACGTGGAAATGACTAGTAAATAATAATACCATGTCATTAAAAATAAAAAAAAACTGTTAATTTGTTGGAATATAACCTAAAGTTAAAAATAATCAAAATGATTAGACACATGGTAAGGCTCATCTCTTTCCTTCCTACTCATCATAAACCTTGGTGGCAGATAATAATTAACGCTGCGATTATCACCTTTAGTCTTGTGACTAGTCTCTTCTTTAGGAACCCAAGGTGGCTTTATTGACCTGATTAGTGCCCAATTAACACCTTCAAAGAACTCATGTCTTTTGATTTCAATAGAGCCTTTGAGACTCCCTAACCTCTTCTTAGGGTTCTTCACCAGTAACTTTATAATAAGATCTTGAGCGTTCACCATATCTTCGTACTCTTTGGGGCTATTCACTATAACCTTTGGGAATGTCAAGGGTGCTTTTAGAATGTTTACTAACGTTTTCTCGTTGTTTTCGCCTTTAAACGGTGTCCTACCAAATATCATCTCGTATAGAAATATCCCGTAAGTCCACCAATCTACTGCACTCCCATGTCCTTGCCCTGACAAATAAACAAAACTAACTTGTTAGCAAAATGGAACTTATGTTTGGCTGAACTCAGAACAACTGTTGTTTCACAATGTATTTTTACTACAAAAACTCATTCAAATAAAATGGATAACAATCTTTTTCATTGCCTCAACGCATAGATTTTGGAAAATTTTCAAGATTTCAGGAATTTGTTTGTAGCAAAACGGATTATTACTAATTTTTTATATGATATATACTTTGTTTCTAAGTTTCCTTAACGATCAATTTTATTTATTTTTATAAAATTTTCCATATTTTACTGTTTGTAAACTTTAAAACATTGATTATTCACGTAAATCATTTTAGGTTAGCAAAATACCTGAGATTACTTCGGGTGCCAAGTACTCATGTGTTCCCACGAATGACTTAGAGCGAGCATTGATCGGTTCGGCAAAAATTGATGGACATCCAGCAGATATGTCTCGAAGTCCATTTGAAACACGAGAACAAGAAGAAGGTGATCGAGAAAATGTTCTTGAAACATCGTTACTTTTCACAGTATGGCTAGTACCAGCTGCGTTTTCGTGTATTGTTGTGGTAACAACATTTTTCTTTCTTCTTCTGCTGGAAGTTGGAGAGAAGCAGGAGATGACAGGGTTTAACGGAGTTGCCGTGCATGAAGGTGTAGAGCATTTACGGCGGATGGTGATGTCTTCATCGTCTTCTTGATGGCCACGGTCACGGTCGTTGTAATTGAGGAGTTGTGGAACGACGTCGCATTTGAAGGAGAGATCGAAATCTGAGAGCATTACGTGACCATCTTCTCTGATTAACACATTCTCTGGCTTTAGGTCTCTATACACAATTCCCATCATGTGGAGGTACTCTAAGGCCACCAGAGTTTCAGCTGCGTAAAACCTGCCACAGTATCTTAATTTATTAAGCATTTGGTAATTAGTTATTAGATATGCTAAGCTATACTTACATCAGTATTTGTTACTAGCTAGTAGGAAGAAATATTGGTTTATTTTTGTAACCGTAGATATTTCAATCATGAATTTTTCTAAAAAAATAAAAAAAAAGATTTCAATCTTGAATCTGCGGCTAAATTACAAAGTGGACAAGAAAGAAAACGGTAAATGTAAATCGTTTAACCAAAAATTAAGTGGAATAGTATTCCAAAAAAAAAAAAAAACTAATATAATTTTCATAAATTAATTTAACTACACTGAAATTATTTATAACTAATAAGTAAATTTAGTTTCAAAATCTAAAAAACACTAAATGCACATTTAAAACAAA